TCCTTTGTGTTCATGTCTGACATGCTGTTGCCCCAGCAGACTGCAGGCTAAAAAAAAGTACACTTGCCACCACTGACTGATAAAACATGTGCAGCATTTCACTGCAGATGTCAAAGGACCCGAGCTTCCTGAGGAAAAAGAGCCGGCTCTGCCCCTTCCGATAGATGGCATCCGTGTTCAGGGACCAGTCCAGTTTACTGTCCAGGTGCACACCTGGGTATTTATAAGTGCGCACCACCTCAATGTCCTTCCCTCGAATGTTGACTGGCTGAAGGGTGGGCCTAGACCTCCCAAAGTCCATGACCATTTCCTTGAAGCAGGGATCCACCCCCATCCCTTCCAGCTTGTCTTTAAGAATGGGGGGTTGGATGCACTTGAAAAATCAAAGAACATAATCCTCATGTAACTACCTGGTTCATCCAAGTAAGAATGGGCCCGATGGAGCATGTAATGGATGGCATCATCCACTCCAATATGTTCTTTGTAGGCGAACTGTAGGGGGTCAAGTGCATGTTCAACCTGTGGCTTCAGAAGATGGAGAAGCAGCCGCTCCAGGGTCTTAATGATGTGTGATGTGAGGGCCAGCGGTCTGTAGTCATTTATCTCAGCCGGTCGTCCTACTTTAGGTACCAGAACAAGATATGATGTTTTCCACAGGACCGGGACCCTCTCTGTTTGAAGGCTTAAGTTAAAGATCCTCTGGAGAGGCTCAGCCAGCTGGGGTGCACAGTCCTTTTAACAGTCTCAGACACACACCATCCAGGCCTGTTGCCTTTCCAGGACATAGCCTCTTGAGCTCCGCCCTCGCCTCCTCCATTATATGTTACTGGCGATCCAGGGTTTGTCGTTTGGAAAGCAGTGTACAGTCCTTGCTGGTATTACTGTGTCCATACAGAAGTTAATGTAGTCTGTGGTACATTCAACCATTCTATCAAGGTCAGAGTCCTTGCTTTTTATCATTTTCCTGTGACTTCAACAGGACATCCCAATTTGTGCACTCAAAACAGTGTTTTAGACACTCACTGGCTTCCAGGGTCCAGTTCCTGAATGAGTGGGTGGTTGCAGCCTGCCTCAGTACACAGGGCTTGTAGGAAGGCTGAAGAAAAACCAAATTATGATCTGATATACCAAGTGGTGGTAGAGCTGAAGCAGTGAAGGAATCCTTGACATTTGCATACAACAGATCGAGTGTCTTATTTTTTTTTATTCCTCCACCTTTATTTTTTCCACTTGCTCCGGCGTCTCTGTCCGCTCGTACTGCAGTGAAGCCAGGTAAATCCACACAGCGGTCAGGAGTGTTGTCGTTTAACCAGGTCTCCATGAAACACATGAGACTACACTCACGATATGCTCGCTGGTTCTTCACAAGTGCCTCCAGTTCATCACACTTGTTAGCCAGGGAGTTGACATTTCCCATGAGGATCGATGGTAGAAAAGGCTTATATCTCCATCTCCTAGCCTTTAACTTAGCCCTGGCTCTGCATCCACGGTACGGCTTCTTACGCTCAGCCGGTATGGGATGTTTAAGTCCATTTCTGGTCAACTTTAAAGCCAGGAGTTCTCCCTTTGTGTACATTATTTTCTCAATCGTCGAAACGACGACGTAGAATTAAAAACATCAATCGACAAAAAATATACTAATATATACAAATATATTGCAAAAAACTACGAGCTACGCGGACTTGCTGCCACTTGTTATAATACGCACTTGTGCACAAGTGTACACACTCTCTCGCTACATAAACACAGTGCTCTGCACACCAGATGGGGTCCACAAAGTCTTCAGCCTGATGGCTCCCTCCCTCCCTTCCCACCATACATCTCTGCTCTGCTATCTTCTCCTCAGCTCGCTGTGTCTTCACCAACAAGGGAATTCCAGTCTTCCAGGAAAGCTTGCCAGCTCTGGACCATGGGCTTTGTGTGTGCGCGTGCGTGTGTGTGTCTGTCTGTCTGTTTTCACCGTATGAAGAAGCACACCGTGCCTCTGTGCATGCTGGTTGTCACCATTACCAGGGCCTGTTTAGCACTGGGCTCTCTCCATCATTGACAGGCTGACAGATGTGGATGCTGTCATGATGCCATGGAACACGATCTCCTCACATGTTGTAGACCAGCACGGCAGATTAGTTCTTCTCCACAGAAATGACGAGGCAGGGTCAACATATAGAAGCAGTAGTTGGTTTGACTGTACATATTTTCTACTAATAATGTAATTGAACTTTTGACTTTTTTGAAGTGGTTTTTAAAGTACATATAAACAGCAGCTGAAAAATTTTACTTGTGTTGACCTCCAGCAGTTTAACTTCTCACCATGGAGCAGTGTCTGTTAGTACTTTGTGGCATTAGTCCTGGGTGTGGTTACAGGTCTGACCACACCCAACCACTTCCAGTGTTAGGGGTGCAACAGACTTGAAATTTTCAACACTGACACACTGATTTTAAAGCAGTTTGACATTTTGGGAAACACATTTATTTGCTTTCTTGCCAAGAGTTAGGCCTCAGTTATACTTGTTTGAGGAGACACCACAGACATGTAGTCATTTTTATGTATAATCTGATTCGTGCGCAGTAGATCATCTTCCACGTACTCTGCACAATGCGCAAGTCAAGATGGCGATGTCCTTGGAAGAATAATTACATCACATTTGGTTGTGTTCCTATTCTTTGAAAGATTAATTGTAGAGGTGAAGGTAGCGGTGGACGTCCTCACACAGCCTCTTTTCAAACTCAGCGTTCCATGTTTGTTTTCCAGCTCATGCACAGTTGGTATGCGTACCGGCTCCATTGATGAAAATTGCGCCACGCTGACCTTAGCGGACCCTTATGGAATCTTGTGTACTTGCAGATGCGGAAAGTATAACACTGGCTTTAGACCACTCTAATCTCTGTATAGTAAATATGAAGCTACAGCCAAGCTAGCTAAGATAAGCTAACATAAAGAGCGAAAAGGGGAAAATTGCTACCCTGGCTCTGTCTAAAGTTTGAAACAAAGTCTAGCATCACCTCTAAAGCTCACTAATTAACATTTCATATCTCATTTAAATCTTTGTGGTTTCACAGTGAGCTCACACCAGTGGAGACACTGTACAGTACTGTGTGACCAGACACGTCTGCTTGTCAAGAAATAGTTACAGCTTATTCCTCCATGCAAAACCTCAAATTTTCATTTTACATTATTTGTGTACTGAATGAGCAAATGAAATTTTTGAACTTGAAGTTTGTTTCTGTTTCTGTTTTTTCTTTTTTTCTTTTTTTTCCCTTTTTGCTAAGCTAATCACCTCCCAATACTTAACACGCACCCCTGGCATCAATCTCTAAACGAATGAGCATCTTTCCGAAAATATTGAATAATTTCTTTCGTTGTGCGATTCCTGTAAGACCCATGTGTTTGCGTGTACAAATATATTTATCTTAATATGCATTATGTATGTGGGTACCTGTTTGATATTTTATCTGTGAAGATAGTTGGAAAATGTAATTGTAAATTATTTGTATGATAGGAACTATTTTACTTTGATGTTTATGTAAAGATCAATAAAATTATGAAACAAGTTCCTTTTGGCTGTGTCTGCATGTGCAGGTAAAAGTTTTGGATGTAGCCTACTACAGTAACACAAAAAACATGAGTTGCACATAGCCTATGGCCTGTAAAACTAGTGCTATTAGTATTCTTGAGCGCAATAAGCACAACTAATGTTTCAGGTTACGCTGTGAGAGTCCGGTTTTTGAATGTGCCAAAATTAACCTTAAAATGAAAAATCTGTATCTAAATTTTTAGCCGTAAATTTATGAAAAGATGAATCCTTAATACAGAATGACAAACAGTAGATGGGAAATAAGGGAAATAAGATCCACTGTGTAAAAATCCAGCTCAGGTTTAAGACATCAGATAAGTCTTGAAGGTCTATTTCATGTCCTTGGCAGACACACACCTCTTGTTGCTAATTGTAACACAATGGAAGAGGGAATTGGCTACTATATAAAGTGTGGAAATGGTGTCAGCTCTTTTGGTTAGGTCATTGGACACAGACATGGCAACGCTATTGAAGCAAGCCAGTCAAGCTGGAAGAGTTGCCCCATTTCTTGCCACGGTTACTGGCTTACTCATGTACGTGTGTTAGTGAATTATGCATATTGATAGATTCCCAACTGAAGCTGGAGGATGGGCATTTTTTTTCCATGAGAATAAACAAGAGAAATTATACACCACGGAAGTGTGCAGCCAGTCTATAAATAGCAGCGTTCCTTTTTTTGCCTGGGGATGTAGTTGCGTTTTTACAGGTCAGACTGTGATCTTCTCTTAAGCCTCTGCATTGAGATGTAGCCGACACATCTCTGGGGTGCTGTCGCTGGCCCTTAGAGGGGTCCCTTTAATCTCTGAAAGCAGGGGTGCATCTCTTCTAGGAGAAATCGGTGGGTGGGGTGGGGGGGTGGGGGGGGGACTTTCATGGGGCCCCAAGATGATGCTTTTCAGATTGGAGAATTGATGCTGTTGTTCATCAAGGGGTCAATTTTGAGGCGTCTCAGCAGTGGGGGGGGGGGATCTAAAATTTCTGCTTCAAAAAATGGCATCAGATGAATGACATGAGAGAACTGAGTGGCATCTGCAGGCGGACTGCTAGTCTGTCTCCCCTAAAAGCCTTCACAGGAAATCAATAGTGGTCTCCATAAGAATTAATCTGGGATCCACACTACTACCATGGCAGGCGGCCAGCTGAGTGATGTGTGCGGTTTAAACGGCCCCCGCATCCTGCCCGCTTATCTGTAGGTGTCCCGATGATCGCTCGGCTTTCTACTCATCTCGTCTGGCTGTTTTATTTATTTCTTTCTTTATTTATTTTTTTCCCTGTATCCCAGCCCTCCTCCATCTCTTCCTCCTCTTCCTCCTCCTCCTCCTCCACCTCCTCCTCCTCTTCCTCCTCCTCCCCTCCCTCTCCCCGCTAAGTTCGATGCGATCGGCTCTGGGCCCTGCCGTGAGTTCTCGGTGCGGGCGACAGCGCTGCTGAACATGGCGTCAGACGGGATGATTTTAACGAACCACGACCACCAAATCCGGGTCGGAGTCTTGACAGGTAAACGCAAGAAATTCCCATCGCCTCTTTTCATATTTCGCTCACATTTCCATGAATTCATTTCCGCCGGCTGTCCGCCCGGGTCTTCATACATGTCGGCTGGTTTTTTGCGTGGCGGCGGCGGCGGTTCTCGGTCTCTCGGTCTCTCGCTGGCTTTTGCAGCCTCTTGAAGGCGACGCTGATTTTAAAACCTTACTTCTTTTTTTTTTCTTTTACCCCCCCCCCCCTTCTCTCTTTACCGGTATGCATAAATGTACATGCTACATTACATCCAGCGCTTATGCGGTGTAAGCGGTAAATGTGGGCTCTGCATTGGTTTGTGTCCGCTCATGTAGCCTAGATTTCTCACCGAGCCGTTTTTCCCCGCTGAAGAAGAAGAGCTCAGTTTATGTGTATTGAATAATTCATGTCCCTATCTGCGTGTCAGAGCTGAAAATTACAGCTGATCGTGTGTTGTGTCGCTGCTAAAGATGCCCGTGCTATAGATTGCATTATTGACACCCAGCTGACCACAGCGATTTTTGAAGTGTTGCTCACGACAGTTGCTGCTGAAGGTGGATGTGGATGTGGATGTGGTGGTGTTGGTGATGATGATGATGATGATGATGATGGTGATGATGATGAGCGCATCCTTGGCCTATTAAGAGCACTGGATGATGTGAGAAAATCGGTTAAAATGCGTGTAAGACATCAGATGTGGCTTATTTTGTGAATGACAGTGCGGACAGAGGAGTTTACATGACACATGAGCGCGGCTCTGGCTCGGTTTGGCGGGGCTCGGGTAAATCCTCCTGACATTCCTCTAAATGCAACGCGATGACGGCGCGTCTCTCACTTGCAGATATACTGGGAACGTGATGCGCTTGCATGCAATGTGCGGCTATGAGGCGGCGGATGGTGTTAGATCTGGTCGCTGCCGGCCTTCATTTTTTTCCCTTATGTGTGTGCTTGTGTGTCTGTGTGTGTGTGTGTGAGAGAGAGAGAGAGTGTGTGTGTGTGTGCGCGCGTGTGCTGCCTATTGCTTTGTCATGTTTCTGATCGTCAACCATCACGCGAGGCGAATCCAGCGGTGGTTGTCATGACCGGAAAGTAAATGAAACGATTTTTTTTCTTTCTTTATCTTTTTTTTTTTGAGAATGTGAACAGCAGCTGAGGTGTGTGGGCGTGGTGCTGTCCAAGCGGTAATACCCCCCCTCCTTTCCTCCACCCCTCCCCCCACCCCTCTTCACCTCCCCTCCCTCCCTCTCTGTCCATCCTGTGTGAGGCTGGGTCGATCAATATTTCATGAAAGTCGTGATCTCACACATACGGTATTCCTCCGTATGGAAATCCGGCACGGAGGAGGTGGTAGGCGATGTGTAGCGATGGAGGAATGACTGTGTAGACCCTCTCTCTCTCTCTCTCTGTCTCTGTCTCTCTCTCTGTCTCTCTCTCTCTCTCTCTCTCTCTCTCTCTCTCTCTCTCCTGAAATCTGCCAGGGAAACCCCCCACCACCACCAACAACACCAACACCAACACCACAACCACCCGTCGTCTCCAGCACCATGGACAGCGCTCTCCCTCCTCTTCCTCCTCCACCTCGCGCTGGAGGAGAGAGGGAAAGCGCTGTCCATGGTGCTGAAATCCAGCGTCACTCACAAATCAGTGGGGTACTGACCCTACCATGGTAAATACTGCATCAGATAGATACACCCAGGCATGTAGAGGAGGATTAACCCATCTCAAGTCACTTTTCCTTCCATCACCATTTTTCTGGGCTTATATCACTGTGTGGAACTTGGAGTCGCAAACAGATGAGGTGATTTTGTGTTTGAAGGGGGAAAATAAACATGCTTGCCCATTTGGTTTTTGTTTATGTAGATGGTTATTTGCCTAATAGCGAGAAGGGGAGGTCAGATTATACTCATCCCCCTTGTTTGAAACACCACATCAGTGCCCACGCCATTATCAGAGAGGGTTAATTTCTCTATGTGTCATCAGTCACTTGAATCCCCAACTGTATCCCCAGCAAAGTGACAGATTGCCAGTTTGATCTCGCTGTGCAGTGTTGACAATTCGCGCATACATATGCCGATGTTGAGATGCGCAGAGACACAACCGACAGGCTTATTTGTCTTTTTGATGTATTTGTGTGTGTATATGGAATAGGAGGGCTCGCACTGTCAGGGAAACAAAAGCATCAGAGAAGTGAGGATGGGGTGGGGTGGGGGGCTGGGGGGGTGGACACAAGCGGGGAAGGAACATTCAAAGGTGGCATTAAGTTGCCATGTTTTACATGACCTTTAGCCTTTTAAGAATCTAATCACTGCAGGATTACTCATGGCTACAAAGATGTGCTGTGTGATTCCCTCATTAGAGAGGGGAGGGGGGTTTGTGATATGATGTATTTTGACAGCAAAAACTCCCCTGCCGAGCTGCCGAGAGGAAGCAAAGCTCCAAATATTCAGGTTGACTGGATCTTTCTTCTAACGCAGAACCTTGTTGCCACACCTCAGTCTTGTACATCCACAATGTTCGAGCCGTTAGTCTGCTGTGGTATGGGGCCTGTGTGAGCGGAATGCTAATGGAGTCTGAAGCAGTGCTCAATCTCCCTCCCCTGCCAGGGTCAAAGGTCATCCGTCCACTCCCTGCATTCAGTCACTAGGGAGCAGATGAGACCTTGGCTCACCCTCTCTCCATCACTTAGCCCCACATCCCTCTAGACAGGTGACAGAGCCCAGGGGATAGCTCTGTTTAGACCCTGGACACACAGTGCAAGGGAGGTGAGGTTGATGTGTCCAAGTGTGTGTGAGATAATGTATGTGTAGAATGTGTGAATTAAGAGGTGGGGTTTATTTGCAAGAGGAGGGAGGTAGGAAACTTGAAACAGGATAATTGGGGTGAACATACTGTCACTTGTCAGAGATGTCACACTGAAAATGTGAGCTTTGTTAGGAGTGGATGAAAGCTTCTCACGCTGTGCTCAGCCTATTGCGATGTGTGTTTGTATTCCTTTTTTTTTTTTTCAGCTACCTGTGCGTATGTACCTGTGTGAGTGTGTATGAGTGTGTATTTTGATGCATGAGTGCTCAGTGCCCAGTTTCTAGCTGTCAGTGTTTCTTCCTGTTTAGCATGAGTTTTAATTGTCCTATGTCTCTCTCCCTGGGTCCGCCTCAGGGTCTGGGCACTCGGCTACACACTCATTCACCTCAGCTAAATATTGCGTGCCTGCATGGCTTGATGTGTCTGTATTTGTGTGTACAGGAATACAGTCGTGGACTAAGGTGATGGTGGATTGTAGCCTCAGGTTTGTGACAGGCAGGGGACCAAACAAACACACCAAAGATAAACTGCATTTTCAGACATATATTTATTTACTTTGTTGAAGAGATGTAGAGATACTAGTCCGGCTTGGTATGATATATAATATGAATTTACATAAACACTTGTATTGCCTTTTCTCTGAGGCTCTCAGAGGAAAATTTGGATACCTTTTTTTAAACTAGATTTTTCTAGGAAACTGTCTACCCATGTGATGAATGTGCCAGACGATACCACACTAGTATTTGTGCACGTATGAATGCATACACGTTGCTGAAATGTACCTTGTGTTTGTGTGTGTGTGTGTGTGTGCGTGTGTGTGTGTGTGTGTGTGTGTGTGTGTGTGTGTGTGTGATATAAGTGTGTGTGGNTGAATGCATACACGTTGCTGAAATGTACCTTGTGTTTGTGTGTGTGTGTGTGTGTGCGTGTGTGTGTGTGTGTGTGTGTGTGTGTGTGTGTGTGTGTGAGAAACGTGTGTGTGTGAGCCTTTTGCATGTGCGGTATGTGCACATGCATGTGACTCCGCTCTGCTCTTGTCTTTGTGCACAAATACTGAGCTCTGGCTGGAAAACACAGCTTAGCAAATCCCCCTAGCCCCAAATATAGCTACTGTATGTATACCTCCCATGATCATACACTGAGAGAGAGAGAGAGAGAGCCCTGCAAAAGGCATTCAGTGGCTTTTAATCTGTATAAAGCCAGTGTGTATGTGTGGGACCATACGGTATTATTACACGGCAGCGCTACATTGCATGGGCCACGGATGCTCTTGGATGTGTGGCTTGATTCACAGCCCATAGAAAGGCCCATTGATGCTGGCTGCTGAGAGTGTGTGGGTTAACTCCAGCCCTTCCTCAAAGAGATGTGGACACACACTCTCAGCACAGAGCTTCCAATGAGGAGCTAGGGCAGGAAAGCTCCACTCTGCGACAGACAGCCCCCCCCCACTCCCCCTGTGTCTCTCTCTTCCATTTTTTCTATCTCCCTTGGTTGTAACAACTGAGAGAGGCTCAGGGATGTGTGGGCGGCTCTCCAAACTTACATGTCTATCAGAAAGACACGAATCGACAGCAGACAGACTTCCCAAAACAACCACATTTAGATCGGTCTCTCAATCCCTCTGTTAAGTAGAACTAATTCTGTGACTCCCGACAGAATGGGTGGAAGCTTTTATTTTGGCGTTGTGGTGGGTCCATTTCTTAGTCACATGTGGTCTGCAGTTTATTGGTGTGTTAAACACATGAACGGTTGTCCTAGAGAGCAGCCGGAGAAAAGGTTTTAAGAGGAGAACAGCGTCATTTTGAGATCATGCGCAAATTTAATATGTGTGTTCGAAATGGTTTATCTTTTGGTGTACACATCACGTGCGTGTGTGTGTATTTCTGCGCGTGTGCGCGCACGTGGGTTTTTGCGGACATGTATGTGTGCTTGTTCATGTTTGCGCTTGTCTGGCTGCAGATAGGATAATAACTATTTAATCTGCTTTTCCACATGATTTAATCTCTGGAGTTGGTCCCAAGCTCACCTTAACAGCTCAGGCGCTAAAGAGGCTCACTAGAGAAACAGGAGTCAAGTCAGCGAGAGGCGGGATAGCGTGCCAGAGCACCCTCACCACAACTAGGAGACGCCGTCATCTGTCTGTCCGAATGGCGTGGATGGCTGCCAGGTTATGGAGCAATCTCCTGTCAGCGTCTCTG